GAGTCTCAGGAATTTGCATCCTGAGTCTTATGTTGTTACTCTCCTGTTACGCATCACTTTGGTAATGTTCTCAAATTGTTTTAAGTGCAAGTTGGTGATGTCTTGCATCCCTTGAGCTGCAGTTGGGGCAGCCGGTCCACAAGACGTGTGAGGTCCCTGCATCCCTGGCCCCTTCTCCTAGGTCTGCGAGTGGAAGGAGCCTGAGGAGCTGAAGCAGCTGCTAGATTTGGAGCTGCAGAGCTGCGGCGAGGCACAGGAGCAGATCCTGGAGCACTGTCGGGCTGTGATTCACTACAGCGTCAAGACCGGTGCGCTGCGGGTTCTGGTGGGAGGATTCTGGTGTTTGCACCCAGCTCCATGCTGAGCGCCCTGCCCCGCTCCCCCTTCTCCAGGTCACCCGCGGTTCTTCAACCAGCTCTTCTCGGGGTTGGACCCCCATGCTCTGGCCGGACGCATTATCACTGAGAGCCTCAACACCAGCCAGTGAGCCACCCCAGAGCCCCTCGTTCCATCCTGTAGAGGACTTAGGTTTGCTGGGAGGTGGCTCAGGGATAGGAGAGGTTTTTGCCCCTCTGCCATTTTCTGGGAATGCCTGCTGACAGTGTTTTCCTTCCTGTCCTTTGAGCTTCCATTCTTCAAGTTTTCTCTGGCCTCCTGAGCCTGGGTTTCTCTCATCTGTGCCTGCCTCCTCCTCCTCCTCTTTCTTACTCTTTTTTTTCCCCCCAAAATTACAGTGTTCCCACATGAGTGGTTTTCTTCCTGCAGTCTTGGGTTGCCACAAGGCACAATCCTCTCTGCCCAGTCTTATAGCCTGAGGGTTTGGGAGGTGACCCCACTCCAGAGGCCCCTCCGTCTGTAAACCCCAGGCCGTGGCAGCTTCCCAAGCCGACGCGGGTCCCCACTCGTGTTGGTAAATGGAGAAGCAGCCAGACCACTGGTCTCTGCTGGATGTAGGCAGCGGGGCAGAGGCTCAGTGCCATCACCTTCAGGTCCAGCCGCCTCTGAAAGCCACACCTGCCGGGCCTGGCTGCCCAGCACAGAGCGCACTCGCGTCTTCTTCATCACCGGCTCATGCTCAGCCAGGACCCCTCCTTCCCTTCTCAGCATCTCCCTCTTTGGCTCCTGTAGTTGAAGGGCCTGGCCTGGAAGCCCCTCATGTCTCTTTGCCTGTCTCATCGGTGCTCTTCTGGCAGGTACACGTATGAGATCGCCCCCGTGTTTGTCCTCATGGAAGAGGAGGTGCTGAAGAAACTGCGGGCCCTGGTGGGCTGGAGCTCTGGGGACGGGGTCTTCTGCCCTGGTATGTGAGAAGGAGAGGCCTTTCCTAGGCCTTCTCGGGGCTCCTCCCCCCCATGGTGCTCTTGCTCTAAGCAGTGGGTAGGGAGCAGTGATTTCTCTCTTTCTCTGTATGGGCCCAGGGCCAGTCCCCTTTAGCTTGGTGTTTGCCAAGAGCCACTGGCATGCGCACTTGAGCACCTTCTCTCAGGGTGGGGGGCGTCTCCTGGGCGGGGCTGGTGTGGTCATGAGGACCTGCTGGTCTTGGGCCACTGTGGGTTTCTGTGCATTTGTACAGCCCTGGGATTCGCGGCTGGGCAGCTAGTCACCCCGCTTCTTTAACCAGCGCGCGAGCCCCAGTCCTGACTCATTACTGCTCCCTTTTGCCGTCACCTCCCCTGTGACAGGTGGCTCCATTTCTAACATGTACGCGATGAACCTGGCCCGCTATCGGCGCTACCCAGACTGCAAGCAGAAGGGCCTCCGGGCACTGCCACCCTTGGCCATCTTCACATCACAGGAGGTGGGGAAGAGCAGAGGTGCAACTGTGGGCTCCGATTCTAGTCGTGAGCCGGCTCAGTTAGAGCCCCTTCGGGTCTTCCTTTCTGCCCTTCCCATCCCCAAGCAGATGTGTTACCTTCCGGTCAGGGCGGCCATGTGCACATTCACGCTCGTCCTGCCCGGGTGGGGGGGCGGTACCTACAGCCCCCTCTTCCTGTTCAGTGCGTGGTCTTGACCAGCTGCATCCGTGCTGCCGGAGCTCCTTAGAGATGCAGAATCTCAGGCCCACCAGACCCGAATGCGCATGTGCATGTTGGCCAGCCACGCGGGCACCCTGTGCGCATGCACATTTGAGAAGCCCTGGCATGCAGGTCCTGTCTACTGCAGCTCATGCTTGACTCCTACCGGTCTCTCTCCTCCCAGCTGTCCTTGCCTTCTGACCCCTGGCCCGGGTCTTGCTAACCTGGCCTGTGTATTCTTCCACAGTGTCACTACTCCATCAACAAGGGAGCTGCTTTCCTGGGCTTTGGCATTGACAGTGTTCGAGTGGTCAAGGCTGATGAGAGGTAAAGGTCCCTCTGCCAACATGATCCTGACCCATTTTGGCACAGTGCACCTTCCTGCTGCCAGGAAGCTCTGCCCTCAGGCCAGGCATCCCCGTGGACTTCTCTTCCTGCAGAACTGGCCTGACAGTGGCCCTCTACCCATGCTCTGAGATCTGTTCTACCCCTCTCAGCATGAAGGCCCTGCGTTGCTGACCCATGCTTGCCCTGCCTTTTGCAGGGTGACGCCTGGTGCCCAGGGGCCCTGTGCCTTCTCTGCTCACTCAGGTTTCTTTTTCAGAGGGAAAATGATCTCTGAGGACTTGGAAAGGCAGATCAACCTGGCAGAAGCTGAGGTGGGTGAGCGAGGGACAGCGGGGTGGAGTAGGCTGCCTGCGGGGCTGTTTGGGCTCTGCCTGCTCAGGGCATCCAGCGTGGCTCGCCTCTGTCTCCAGGCCCGTCTTGCAGCAGGCTGAAGCCTGCGGGGCCAGGCCTTTGCAGCAGGGACTCTGCCGAGGCACGGTCAGAGTTGGTAGTGGGATGGTGAGGGGCACTGAGTGCGGAGGGAGTCCGGGTGCACAGCAGGAAGAGGAAGGGCCTGAGCGCAGCGTGGAAGGTTTCTGCGGGCTGGGGGACCGTGTGGGCAGATGCTGAGGGGGCTGTGAGCAGCACGAGGGTGGGAGAGGTTGGGGACCCTCACACTCAGCTCTACTGAGCTGGCTGCATAAGCCTCTGCAGCCGTCTAGGGGGATGCTTTAGCACTATCTGTGCTTAATTTTTGGTGGTGGTGTTGAGAATTGAACCCAGGGCCTCACATGTGCTGGGCAAGCCTATTCCCAGCCCCTCTATACTTTTTTATTTCTTTTTTATACTGGGGACTGAACCCAGGGCCTTTACCCTGAGCTACATCCTCAACCCTTTTTAATTTTAATTTTCATCCGTTTATTTTCCTATTGATTTTATTTACTTAGGGCTTTTTTTTTGAGACAGGATCTCTCTGTAGTTCAGACTGGCTGTGAACTCACTGTGTAGCCCACACTGGCCTTGAACACATGCAGTCCTCTTGCCTCAACCTCCCAAGTGCTGGGATTATAGGCATGCAGCACCACCCCTGGCTTATACAATTCTTAAATATATCTGTCTACTGGTTCAGAGCTCCACTGCTTAGAACTTACATTATACATCATCATTACATGTGTGTAGAATTCTGTGCTTGGGAATGTTTCCTGGAATAAAGTCTACATTTTAAAAAACACGATCAGTTGCCTATGAATGTGAGGATTAATTTCTGGATTCTTGATGTTACTGTATCATTCTACATGACTGTCTTTGACATTGTCTGGATTACTGTACCCTTGGAATAAGCTTTGAATTTGGAAAGTGTGAGCTCTCAACTTTGTACTTTTTTAGGGATGGCTTTGGCCATACTTGGTCTCTTGAATTTCCAAATGAATTTAGGATCAGCTTCTCAGTTTTTTAAAAGAAACTGGGGTAGTTTGTTTACTTGGTTTTTGTTTGTTGAGGCAGGGTCTCACTGTATATATAGTTCTGGTTGATCTTGAAGTTGCTGTGTGGCCCAGGTTAGCCTTGAACTTGTGGCAGTCCTCTTGTCTCAGCCTCCCGAGTGCTAAGATTATAGGCATTTGCCACCACATCTGGCCCTTTTTGATGGTCTTATAAATGAGAGTGTCTTCTCAGTTTTATTTTAAGAGATCATTCATTTTAATTGAAATACAGTTAATTTTATATACAGTATTGTGTTTTTTGAAAGCATTTGTGAACTGGTACTAGTTGTTTCTTAAATGTTGGATAGAATTCATCTGTGAAGCCAGCTGGGCTTGAACTTTTCTTTGTGGTAGGGCTTTTTATGTTTTTTTTCCCCTAATTCAATGTTGGTATAAACTTTTGTACTCTTTGAATTTTTCCAATAGCATTTAGATCTTCCAGTAAGACATTAAAATTTTTGACAGAGCATGAGCTTTGGAAAGTTGACAGACCTAGGTTCAAATTCCATCTCTGGAGCTTCTGCTTGGATCTCTGAATCTTAGCGTCCCTCCCTGCAGAGAGGACAGCAGTGCCGTGTTGTAAAGCTGATGGCCAGGTTTGTCAGGCGGAGAGCTTACAGCTGGGCCCCAGTACCAGGCCCTGGGTAGTATTTGTTTTTTTGTTTTTTTTTTTGAGGCAGGGTCTCTATGGAGTCCAGGTTGGCCTTGAACTCACTATGTAGCTTGGGCTGGCCTTCAATTCATGATAGTGCTCCTTCAGCTTCTGAGTGCTGGGATTACAGGCATGCGCCACCATGCCTGGCCTGAGGTAGCTTTTGAGGTGGCTCTGAAGTCTTTTCTTCCTGGGCATTTTTGCAATAGGGTGCTGTGCCGTTCCTGGTCTGTGCCACCTCTGGTACCACTGTCCTGGGGGCCTTTGACCCCCTGAATGCAGTTGCTGATGTGTGCCAGCGCCATGGACTGTGGTTACACGTGGACGTGAGTAGGACCTGGGCCTGGGGGTGAGGTGAGCTGCGCCAGGGCCGCCGAGACCTACGTTGTTCCTCCTGCTCTACAGGCTGCCTGGGGTGGGAGCGTCCTGCTGTCACAGACACACAGGCATCTCCTGGATGGGATCCAGAGGTGCATACAGCTCCCTTCCTCCCACCTCCTACCCTTCAAATCCTTGATTCTCACAAGAGTCATGGACCGTGGAGCTTAGGGTTGGGGTGGAGAAGAAAGGTGGTAGGCTGGGGCTGGGAGAGGTAGGTGACTGGGGCTTGGAGGTCAGATAGGGAAATCCCCCCCTTTGGGATGGCGGAGCTGGGCCGGGTGAGACCCTCTGCTGGGCGTCTGAAAGAGGAAGAGGGCTGTGGCTTGGCAGCTGGAGGAGGAGCCTCTGACCTGGCGCTGCTCTTTCTCACCAGGGCTGACTCCGTGGCCTGGAACCCCCACAAGCTCCTGGGCGCAGGCCTGCAGTGCTCTGCGCTTCTTCTCCAGGACACCTCGGTGGGTCTGCCCTGTCTCTACCCTGCCCCTGCCCACCCGTCTCTGTGGATGTCTGTCATCTTCCCTGGTCACCTTAGAGGGCGTCCAGGCCATACTGTGTCCCCTTTGCCGTCCTCCCCACCCCTGCACGGCCTCCCTCGCTCTCCACGCGAAGGAAGAGGCTTCTGTCTGGAAGCTGTGGCCCGCGCCGTGCTGGGCAGTTCGGGGAGAGCTGTGGATGCTGGGAGAAGACCTGGAGAGGGGTTCGAGTCAGTGCTGCCTGGCTCGGCGGAAGGGAAGGGCGGCTGGGCTGAGACCCCTGGTGTGCCCTGGCAGAGCCTTGGAGAGTATCGAGGCCGGGGTCTGACAGTCGCCTGCTCTCCACACAGAACCTGCTCAAGCACTGCCACGAGTCCCAGGCCAGCTACCTTTTCCAGCAGGACAAGTTCTACGACGTGGCTCTGGACACGGGGGACAAGGTGGTGCAGTGTGGCCGCCGTGTGGACTGTCTGAAGCTGTGGCTCCTATGGAAGGCACAGGGCGGGCAGGGGCTGGAGCAGCGGATCGACCGGGCTTTTGCCCTTGCCCAGTAGGTGTGGGGTCTCGGGTCCCCTCTCTTGGAGACCACCCGCACCTTGCCTGCCCTCAGGGCCACCTTCCTCTGGGTGCCTTCTGTTTCCATGTCTGTCCTTCATCTGTCATGTGTCTCCTCCGTTCCCAGGTACCTGGTGGAGGAAGTCAAGAAGCGGGAAGGGTTTGAACTGATCATGGAGGTACGACCACAGGCTCTTTCACATCCCCTGCCCAGGCCTGCCCCATACACCAAACCCACATGGCGGAAGGGGGGCGGTGTGAAGAAAAGGGCTTGTTCCTCAGCGGACCCCTTCCCTTGTCTCATCTCCCTCAGCCTGAGTTTGTCAACGTGTGCTTCTGGTTCGTGCCCCCAAGCCTCCGAGGGAAGCGGGAGAGTCCGGATTACAGCCAGAGGCTGTCTCAGGTAGTCCTCTCCTCCCGGCCCATTTGAGAGCTGGTTCAGCAACTGATGCAGTAGGTGCTTTTCTGCCCCCTGCTGGCTGTGACTGGTAGGGCAGGTCCTTGCACAGGTTTCTGGTCCTCAAGTGGCATCAGCTGGAAGACCACAGTTTGTCCTCCATTGTGAGGGCAGGGACGGGGAGCAAGGCTTGTCTCTTTGAAGTAAGAGAGAAGAGCAGGGATGTTGCAGAAGTCAGAGAAGTCACAGGTGCGGCACAAAGACTCCTGTGCTGGGAGCTGTCCTAGGACAGTGGTGGCAAGCCTATGGCATGCGTGCTCAGCAGTGTGTTTGTATCATTGAAAGCTCTAGTTTTACTTTTCTGTTGTTTGTCTCTTTTTTTGGTATTTCTCCAGTACCTGGAACCGAACTCATGACCTTGCGCTTGCCAGGCAGGTGCTTTGCCACTGAGCTAAATCCCCAGCCCCTCATTGAAAGCTCTAAAAGGTTCGCTGCCACTGCCCTAGGAGCTCAAGTCCAGGGAAGAGATGGGAGGCAGAAAGATCAGAAAGAGCTCTGTCACTGGTGCTGGGGACAAAGCAGCCTCTGTCCCCAGGCACACTTTTTAGAGGTGGAGAGGTTGTTTTTTTTTTTTTTTTTTTTTTTTTTTTGGTCTTTTTGAGACAAGGTCTCGCTATGCAGCCAGGCTGGCCTTGAGCTCCCTTTCTAGCCCAGGCTGGTCTTGAACTCTCAGCGATCCTCCTGCCTCAGCCTCCCGAGTGCTGGGATTACAGGCGCGTGCCGCGATGTCCTACTAGATGTGGTTCCCGCCCTCGTGCAGATATATGTAGAAAGCAAGAGTTACCAGTTTTTAAAAACATTATGAGCACATGTTTGCAGTACAGTGATTACGTTCATCCTGGGGAGTTGGCACATGTCCATAACACACCTCAATTCTTTCCACTTCTCCCCATCCTCTCCCTCTCCAAAGAGTTACCTGTTTGAAGTCAGTGTGCTCAAGGCGGTTTTGGAAATTACCTGCTAGATTATACTGCACAGATCAAAAATACTACAGGAATGAAGAGAGGGGAGGTGTTCGAGTTGATTAAGACTTGAAGTTAGAATGGAAGCAGTGTTGGGAAGCAGAAAGATGTTGGGGGTTAGCAGAAGGTGGCCCTTGCCATGGCTTTTTGGGAATAGGAGAAATGAAGCATAAAGCAGAAGGCGGAGGAGGTCAGGCAGGTTGGGTGTGGTGTAGAGAATAAGCCGGGGCAAGGTGAGGATTTGCGCAGTGAACGGGCAGTGAGCGGACAGGCAGACAGACGTGGGAGCCCCGCTTCTGCGCCCGAGCTCAGGCTGCGTCTCCCTCAGGTGGCCCCCGTGCTCAAGGAGCGCATGGTAAAGGAGGGCTCCATGATGATCGGCTACCAGCCCCATGGGACCCGCGGCAACTTCTTCCGCGTGATCGTGGCCAACCCCATGCTGACCCGTGCAGACATGGACTTCCTCCTCGACGAGCTGGAGAGGCTTGGCCAGGACCTGTGAATCTTCGCCCTCTTGTGGCCGTTTAGACGCCATCCTTGACCCCGTCCTCCTCCAACTCTGCACTGTCTCTTGTGCTCTCCAAGTGGCCTTAACCATGTTTATATGCTTCGACCCCTTAACTCTCTTAATTACACACTTGCTATTAGGAGAATGCTTAAATAAACTATAGTCTATCCATGTGATGGACTGTTACTCTTGAATCAAGATATTTACAAAGAGAACTTTTATTAACCCAAGAAAAAATAATATAATGTTATATGGAAAAAGCTGAATATAAGACTTTATATATAATGATACTAGAGATATATTAAAAACATATAGGAAGGGACAGGTGTGGTGGCACACAGCTGAAATCCCAGCCTTCAGAAGGCCGAGGCAGGAGGATTTGAGCAAGACCCTGCCTCCAAAAACTATGAACTATGCCAAAGTGTTAACAGTTTTTCCCCTGGATGGAATAATAGGCAATTTTCAAATCACAGCCTCTATACCTTTTGTGCTCCTCTCTTGTGATATGTAAGGAATATGAATTACTTTGTAATAGGAAAACAATAAAGTTAAAATTTCAAGTATTTTACTTTGGTGTGTCTTGAAGTTCGTTACTCTCAATCTAAATAATGGAGACCTTTATTTTTAAAAGAAATGAACAAAAAGCAGGTAAGAGAGAATAAATATAGGTACAGTTTTCTTCCCCAGAAATCTTTAGTGGGAGAGAAAAGCCCAAAAGTACAGTTAATCTCAAACTAATCATACTTTGGTGACATTGAAAACAAAACGGGCACGGATGGAACCTTTAAGCCAGAGCCTTATTCACTTACACTGTCGAGGGGCTCGGGATATAGCTCAGTGGCATAAGCGCCTGCCTGGCAAGCGCAAGGTCATGAGTTCGACCTCATGGTCATGGTTCCAGCAAAAAGTTCGACCTCATTGGTCATGGTACCACCAAAAAAAACCCCCCCAAAACAAAACCAAAAACCTTACACTCTCGAAAGAAGTCCGCACCCCTTACCAAGAAAAGGTTGTTCTGTAGTTTAAACAACAGAAGGCAAGTTTAAAAAAAAACCAAACCAGCAGCAACAACATCTGACAAATCACTGCCCTGCCCTCTGGGATTGCTGCTGTTTTGCCTGAAAACATCCATTCAGGGGTGGGATATGGCTCAGTGGCAGAGCTCTTGCGTTCTGGAGGCCCTGGGTTCAATCTCTAGCCCGCCCTTCCCCGAATCCCAACCGAAAATAACTCCTATCCATGTAACACTTAAAATCCGAGCTGTTGCTACTTCTCAGTCGCTTTGGGGGAAAGAGGAATTTAGCTGCACAAGCTACTAAAAATGAGTGGCAGGTCTACCAGAACTTTTTGTTATTTCCAATCCCTAAAAATATCATTTGTGAAAACAGCAATGTGGTCATGTAAAAGTCATCCAAAATTATTTGAAGTGGCAAATACAAGCTGTGCAAATCATAGCAAAAGAACATCCAAGTCTCAGGCACTATTCTCTTGACCGTATTTTTTTTTGGGGGGGGAGGGGCTTTCCAATAATAAATTACTAGTAATTCCCCTGTAAACTTGTTTTTTTTTTTTCAATCCCAAGTATCAAAACTAGGGTAGCCATGAACATGCTACACAAGTGCTGTGCTACTGAGCTATACTCCTAATCCCGGAGCCTAATCTGAAAGAATTCTGCATACCTGCAGAATGTCTCAAAGGTAGTGGAAAAAAAAAAAAAAAAAAGGAAGGGATCCTGATTTTAACTTAAAGCAAAGCCACAGATCCAGAATTTTCGGATTCCTTGCCTCATCTGCACTTGAGAAATATTTTTAAAAGCAGGTCAGGAGGACAGGACATACAATCGATGAATCTATTTTTTAAAAACTGTAAAACTGGTGCTTCTTCTCCAGTGTTCCCAAATTCCAGCTCCATGTCCCTCCACCGACTTTCTGGCTTTAAGCTCCTGGTGCGTAAACTCTGCCCTGCCATCTGAGCTGGAAATTTCATGGCAGTCATCTCTCAGCGGAGTGATGTCCCTGCTCCAGGGCCTTTGCACATGCCATCTCTTTTGCCTCTGTGTTCCTCTATCTTCTGCCTTTAGGTTTTTGTTTGGATGTCACCTCCTCTGTGAAGCTGTCCTTTACTTAAAATTACATTTGCATCTTGCATATCCCATCCCCTTATCTTCCTTGTTTTTCTTAATAGCATGTGTGAGCATTCGGCCTACTCTCATTTTAGTTATTTTAAAATTTTCCATGTCACCCAATGAGAATGCAAGCTCTCAGAGCAGAGGTTTGTACTGATGTCCCTGCTTGTAAATGGTGTTTGATGCTGACTAGGGGGTGCTGGTGCTGAGTGAGCAGTTCATGATCTCTCTGTACTAGCTGACTTGCTTTTAGTCATACAACTTTTAAGTGGTGGAACCAGAAACTGAAATGACACCTTTTTACTCTGGCTTTTAGCCAAGGAGCTAACCTGCCTCTGTTGATGGGGGGGTGCATAATTCGTAGGCGTGTTAGGACTGCTTTACTCACCATCGCTGTGAAAATGTGTGAAAGGGAATAAGCTCAAGTCAGGCAGATTTTGACAACGCTCTTGGGAGTGTTCTTGTACACCCTGGGTCTTCATTTGCCTATTTCTCTTCTGTTTATGTACTTTTAAAAAATTTATAATGGCAGAGCCAGGTGTGGTAATGCACACGTGTAATCCCAGCACTCGAAAGACTGAGACAGGAGGATCACTGTGAGTTTTA